GGGCCGAAAAGGGGGGGGGGGGAGATTTAGGGAAATTTCAATACTACTCATAGCTGTAAAGGCCTTTGGGTGGTTTATATAAATTGTGATTTTCATGTCTCTCAGGGCCCCCGTTTGCCCCTGGTGAGGGGGTGAAATTTAGTATAGTTTACAGTGTATATATGAAATAGACATAATAGGTCATATCTTCCAATGTTTTGAACGGAATTTGCTCATATTTGACAGAAATATTTGTTAGGGGAGGGAGGTCTGCTGGTATAATATTTATGAGTCTGACCCCTAGGGGCTGAGTTAGGGGCCAAAAAAGGGAGAAATTTGGGAAAATTTCAAAAATCTTCTCTATTTACAAAAATGCCAGGATCAAATACTACCCATAGCTGTAAAAGCATTTGGGTGGTTTATAAAAATTGTGATTTTCATGTCTACCAGCCCCCCTGTTTGCCCCTGGTGAGGGGGTGAAATTTACTATAGTTCATATAGGAAATATACATAATAGGCCATATATTCCAATGTTTTGAACGGAGTTTGCTCATATTTGACAGAAATACTTGTTAGGGGAGGAAGGTCTGCTGGTATAATTTATGTGACCCTGACCCCCTAGGGGGGCTGGGTTTGGGGTGGAAAAGGAGGCGAATTTCAAAAATCTTCTTCTGCAGTTCCAGTAATGCTAGTATCAAATACTACATATAGTTGTAAAGGCCTTCGAGTGGTTTATATACTTTGTGATTTTCATGTACCTAGGGTCCCTCGTTTGCCTTTGGGGAGGGGGTAAAGTTTGGTATTGTTTATATAGACAATTCGACAAATGAACAGCCATCACATACTTTTTATCTCCAACCCAACTAATGTGCTAGTAATAGTAACAACCTCAATTCTTTATGAATTAAAGTTTCCATAGTAACGCCTCCAAGTTCTTACCCTACATGTCTGAAGTGGTTACAAATTGGCATTACAGAGCAAATGTAAATATTGTGCCATGATTGCTTAAATAACCAGGTGAGGGATACAGGCCCCCTGGGCCTCTTGTTTATGGCGGGCATAAAATGGAGGGGCATATAGTGTTGCCCATGTCCGACCCGTCCCGATTCAATGTAAACACCCGTCCCATCGCGTCCTGTCTGATTCAATGTAAACACTTAGCAACTTCATTCTTTGACAGATTTTGGTCAAACTTAATACTAAGGTACAACCCTCCACAAAATGGGGGGGCATATAGTGTTGCCCATGTCCGTCCCGTCCTGATTCAATGTAAACAATTAGCAACTTCATTCTTTCACGGATTTTGCTCAAACTTTATACAAAGGTCAAGTATGGGTATACCTCTGACATCAATGTGTTTCAGGATGATAATAACATACAGAAAAAACATACAGAAAAACACGAATATTAAAATCAACTTATCAACATTAAGTGTAGTACCTTGTGTGTGTGCATGTTTCAGGGTATCAAGATCAAAGTGGTTGTAACTTTTTATAGAACACTGAAACTAATTTCATTTGGCAGCGGGGGCATTTATGTCTTGCAGACATTTTCTAGTTTTAACATTAATGCCTTCAATCTCCTTACAAGGTCAGTTGGTCAAATAGCTTAAAAACGGAAAAAAAATCAAAAAAATCAAGAACCACTATACTTGGGGCGTATTCCGTAGACAGCAGTTGAAAATATGATACTGAAGGTAATGGAAGTGCTGGGCTATGGGCTATAATGGGTTAAACCTTTTAAAGATCTGAAGTTCCATAAAGCCCAGGTTCATGATAATTTGGACTGCCACAATTAAACATTCATTTAGTAATAAGGAGCAATTATTTTACAATTTGTGTTGTCAAAACCCTAGAACTAATGCCTGGAGGACATCAGTGGAGATTTTTAAACATTACTATAGGGAAAATGTAAATATCAAAGAACTTTAAATTCACTTTGTACAATCGTTTAGTTTTGAGTCAAGTAGGCGCTGCATGGGAAACAACTTCATAAGCTTATATATAACGGGATATGACGAAGTACGTTTTTTTTTTATTTGAATCATCTTTGTGGTCTTTCCTTACATAGACAGCACTAGTTACACTGTCCACTCCAAACACTCCCTGTTCAAAAGTTCATCACTTCCCAAGCAATGATTGCTTTCTCCTTTTAAAACCCATTCCTTCTGGCACATTCACCCCTAAAATTTCATAACCTTTGAATTGGAAGAATTCCAATATGTCTTCAGGGGTGAATCAGTTAACAAGCGATGTTTAATTTGTTGCTGGAAAAAACAGAAACACAAAGTTTTTCAGATTATAACTGTTGATTGCTCTCCTTATTAACTAGCAATATGTATAATTATAGATATAAAAATCTGTAAAGTTCCTTGAATGTACCCATCGAAATTTCCTGATGATGCTTTGATCTGTAAAAACTAAAATTTACGTTAATTTCTGGTCAAATTCATCTTATTAACGATACAATTAAATTTCTTATCTGTATACCTATTACAAAAAAATATATCTTATCTGTATACCTATTACAAAAATATTTCTTATCTGTATACCTATTACAAAATTATTTCTTATCTGTATACCTATTACAACATTATATATCTTATCTGTATACCTATTACAAAAATATTTCTTATCTATATACCTATTACAAAAATATTTCTTGTCTGTATAGCTATTACAAAAATATTACTTATCTGTATACCTATTACAAAAATATTTCTTATCTGTATAGCTATTACAAAAATATTTCTTATCTGTATAGCTATTACAAAAATAATACTTATCTGTATACCTATTACAAAAATATTTCTTGTCTGTATACCTATTACAAAAATATTACTTGTCTGTATACCTATTACAAAAATACTTCTTATCTATATACCTATTACAAAAATATTACTTATCTATACCTATTACAAAAATATTTCTTATCTGTATACCTATTACAAAAATATTTCTTATCTGTATAGCTATTACAAAAATATTTCTTGACTGTATAGCTATTACAAAAATATTTCTTGTCTGTATAGCTATTACAAAAATGTTTCTTGTCTGTATACCTATTACAAAAGAAAATCTTATCTTTTTACCTATTACAAAAATATTTCTTGTCTGTATACCTTCTACAAAAAAAAATCTTATCTGTAGACCTATTACAAATAATATATCTTATCTGTATCGCTATTACAATAATGTTTCTTATATGTATACCTATTACAAAAAAAAAAAATCTTATCTGTAAACCTACTATAACAAAAATATATAGCTTATCTGTATAGCTATTACAACAACAAAATATCTTATCTGTATACCTACTACAACATAATATATCTTATCTGTATAACTATTACAAATAATATTTCTTGTCTGTATAGCTATTACAAAACTATTTGTTCCACAGCACTGCCAGATGATATACAGTCTAACATGCATCCAAGATCCAGATATTGGTAAACATCTCAGCTCACAAACCGTTTTGACACTGACGCCCGGTTCGTCTCCCTCACGTGGGTCCAATATTAGCCTCAGATCGATAATAATGATCGATCGATGATCGTTTCTGTTAATAACTTAAAAGACTCTTGGGACTCTTCACATATATCGTATTTACCCCATCAACAATTTGGGACAATATCTACTAGAAAGTAAAACGATCGAATGTCATAAAGCAAAGACAGTCAAACATTCATAGAGTTAAATTAGCCTCCCTATCACTGCAAACAACTAATGATTAACAATCATGAACCTCTACCCTACCAAGAAAAATGAATCAGCATATAACATAAAACGAAATATTGAAAGGTCGATCACGGCACCAGTGTAAACGTTATCGTATATTGGCTATTTGTTTTCCCATGTCCATCCTTCAAGTTCCGACTTGTTACCACCTCTAGTTACTATATAACATGAGGCACAACATAACAAAAAAACACAAGGCATCACAAATGATACAAATCCTCTCCCATTCACACATTGTGACATATGTAAGAGGAAATGAAGTCGCTAGAGCGATGACATTTTTTTCTTTCTAAAAATTGTAACAGTGATCTTTGCCTTCAGTGTAGAAACCCGAAACGATAAGTTGTTGAAGACAATGCCATACCAAATACTTGTATCAATTTCATGAAAATCCGTTGAGGAATAAAGTCAGTAGAGCATTGACAAAGTTTTTCTAAAAATAGTAAAAGTGTCCTTGACCTTTAAAACAGTAACGCCGAAATGCGAAATTGTTGTCATACCAAACACTCGCATAAAGTGTCATGAAATTCTGTTGAAGAATAAAGCCAGTAGAGCGATGACAAAGTTTTTCTAAAAATAGCAATAGTGACCTTGACATTGAATACAGAAACCCGAAATGCAAACTTGTTCCAGGCATTGCTGTGCGAAACACTTTTGTTACGTTTTTAGGCATCCCTCTTCTGACACCAATTGTTACGTTTCCATTTATGACACCATCTTGCTATTAATGTAATTGTTAATTTCTCTATGTTTAGTGAAAGTCAAGTCGTTCAGTCGGTCTGACAAATGCAAGAGATAAAAACACAACTTACACGTTTTTATAAGGTTAACTGAAGTTTTATTTACATACATTTATACAATGTTCTTGCCAAAAGTTCAACTGAATAAAGTTACCTAAAAGTGTCTCTAGGATAAAAATTGTATAACCCAAGCAAAGTTGACGCACTTAGAAATAATCAAAATTAGGATAAGATGAAGAAGACTGATATTCCTTTTAATACATATAACATATAGACACACTTACTATAAGTCCGGAAATGTCACTCAAAAGTAATATCACTAAATAACAACTGAAGTTTACACTAACTCGACTAATTCAACTAACTAATACTCTACACAATGTATATTACTCCACTGGACTCCTCACAAGTCTATATCCCCGTTCTCCTCTCAATCACATACAAAAACCTCCCTTAATCCTCGCCAAACTCCTGATCTTTCAACGGGAAACTCTATCCCCTCATTAATCGTCATTTTTAACAAAAACTCCCTATCAACCCTTTATATATGTACGACTATTTTACGATACTGACAACATATACTAGATATACTCAAAGTCATACTAAACTAAGACGATGACATCATTAACTAAGTATACTAAAAGCCATACTAAACTTAGCCAATGACATCATTTACTAAATATAACTAGAGACAAGATACACTAAAGATAGAGCTACATCTAAATACAAACTATGGAAACCACATTGTACTAAATACAGGGGTGGTGTCTAATAATAGATCATGATGTATAGCTAGGAAATCTATTTATACCAGCAACTAACCAAGTCATTAGTTCAGCAGGTCCTTCCCCTTTACCCCAGTAATGACCTCATACCTATCAATACACCAGTCCCTCAAAATGACCACAAACCTATTTATATCTCACCTCCCTCAAAATGACCACATACCTATATATATCTAACCCCTCTCAGAATGACCACAAACCTATATATATCTAACCCTTTGATGCCTGAAGATACCACACCACTGAGGCTCATAACCTTTGACCGTATATCTTTCTACTCAGCTACTGGACCCTTATATCTGACAAGGAAATCTCCAAACTGACCCTCTCAACTGACTTTTTGTATGGTATTTATGATCTATTTGAATGACACAGCTTTGCATGCAAACAACATAATGCGCGCTACATTTATTGAACGACAAGAGCTTTTTCCAGTTTTCCACATATGCAGGTAAATAATTCAAAAGTATGTAAATGATCTTTTAAAATATTAGTAAAACAAGTTTGCATATAACATACATTTCAAGCAGAAGATCTAGAAGCTCTTGATTAAATGTCAATGGTTAAAGTAATGAAGAGCCATGTTGTTTAGGATTTTGTTCATAAGAATAACTTGGTTGTAAGAAATTGTTTTTTAAGAGGTGTGAATATATAAAACATGATCAAGGGATTGGGTCGGAAAACTGGAGGTTTCCGTCACCGTTGTAACGATCCAGACAGTTATGAGATCCGGTTTTATTGCAAGGTGCGAAACCGTCGGTTTTATAATTTATGAAACCGCTGGTATATCCTGTGGTCCTCCAATGCTCTGCGTGCCGATATAGTTCATGTCCATATCTATTTCTTGCGTACAGTCCAGGGTTTCTCGGTGCATTCACCCACTGACCATGGAATAGCAATTTAGTCGGTGCTAATTTCTGGTCAATTAGTATTTCAGTGTCTACCGTGCGTTGTCCGTATATTTCAATGAACCAGTTCTTACTATTGATTACAAACAGGCCCTTGCTAGTTTGGTCTACAAGTGTATACCCTGCTATACTGACTTTCTTTCTAAGGGATCGAAACTTTGTGTAATTTGCCTTCAGAATACCGATATCAGCATCTCGTTCCCATGGTAGCACGTTCTGAAATTTCACTGCTCCTAACACCGTACCCTCCGCTAATTCACAAAAGATACCCATCTCTGCGCATGCGCTCATGGCGAACGTTACTAGATTGGTTAATTCTTGTAGACAACAAGCTTCAACCGCATACCCCTTGTCACGGAAACAGGAGTAAACTTTGGGGCAACCAAAATCGAATTCCAAATTCAAAGATATAAATTTCATTTTCTTCAACTTGTATTTTCTCCCAAATTGCTTCCAGTCGGATATATTCGAGCTCCTAGATATGGGGTTAACGTAAAACATGGAATCTGGACAAATGACCGATTCTCCACCAGTACGCATAAAGAAGTCTTCCCAAATACCTTCTCCAGTGATGTTTTCGTCAAACTTGATCTCCATACATGTTTTTGTACTTATCACAAATGAACTATCAATATGATCACAAAATATACATTCGTGGGCTGATTCTTGGTATCCTTCCTCTAACACAATAGTGTTGTTTTTGTAGGCTCGCTGTAGACAGCCAATTTTCCAGTGGCCATCGATATCCCTAGATGCACCACCAGCGGAAATCAGTTCAAGACGTTCAATCTCACTAATAAGGCGATGTATTCGACTGTCGTTATTGAACATGATTGTGTCACGTGCCACTAGGACATAGGGCGTATTTACAGACGCAATAAGTTTATTCCAAATATGACCTTTACTAGTTCCGGTTTTGAAATATTGAAGAGAAACATATAAAGAAATAGACGTATAGTTACCTTTAGGGAAATCACCAACAGCGAACAAACCAACGATAACTGACAATTTCCGGTTGTATTTTTGTACGTCCATTAAAAATCTGGACAAATTTGTCCTACCTTCGTCCCACAGGGTAACTATTGTAAGCAGTCGCTCCTCTGGAATATGATGGTCACACTTGACCAGCTCAAATCCTTCGTAATAAAAAGGGTATCCGAAGCTACCCCCCTTGTAAATCTCTGGACACACACTGTGCGCCTCGTGTGCATGACGGCGCGTCACCGACAAACTATCCAAATCAAATGCACGCAAAACTTCATCTAACGCTTGGCCAGCAATTATCATAGCATCTCTTGCTTTTGTTCCACGGACATGATTTACAGCTTTTCGAAAAAATCGGCCTGCGATTGCAAGTTTAGATTTAGTTTCTTCATTGTTCTTTTTACAATTGCTTACGACTGCCTTGCTCTTTAAATCTAGATTGTTAGAAATATTTGCTCGGTCAGGAACAAACGCCAATGGATCGTGTCGAATCGTGTTTCGGAGATCTTTTTCCCTTGCTGTTTTCGATATGAAAGTAAGCTTTTCCATGTACAATGAAATACATGACACTAGAAGAGTATAACTAATGAAAAGGATCACGCGTACAACCACGTGGAACCTCTGATGAATCGTCCTTATTGCTTCCAACGGCGAAAAATACTTAGTTCTAGATTTTTCTGCTACAAAACTGCAAATTTGGATCATCCACGATGTAAAATATTAGACGTTGAATCCAAACAATTAACACTTATAAATGATCAGCCTTTGTTGAATCAAACATTGCTATGCGGTCTTCATTAGTGGTATCAATAGTTTGTCACTGTACAAGTTGCACTGTTACCCCGTCCGTCTATGCATAGCAATTACTAGACCTTTCTCATTTTGGGGTAGACCTAGCACGTAGCGTCGAGAAAGAGACCCAGACAAGCAAATGCAGGGGTGATTTCAAAAATAATTGTATATGGATCGTCGCGTATAGGGTATGTCAGAATGTGTACACGCACATGTGCGTGGCGTGACTACAGGTAATATAAGAGAACAGGCTCAATACGACAAGTTAGTGACCGTGATAATTGATATTTCAAAATCTCAACCGGGACGTCTGTTGTATTTTTTTCTGACGCCGATTAAGTTAAGGATGCTCCAGCCTTTCGGAATTAGCCAGCAGAATTCAATGAAAGTTTCACATAGTAGTTATGTCACTATGTAGAGATGATTTTATGAAAATCTAAGCATTCCGATAAACTGGGGATTTTTTTGTAAAAAATACTGAAAAATTGATTTTTTTGTCAAATTCAACACTTTCACATTTTTTGAGCGTGTGGCATTGTTCAAAACTTGAGCGTGTGGCATTGTTCAAAACTATTACAACAATAAGATAATGAAAAGAAACATTGCGTATCAACCCTACACATATTTTATTTATCATAAAATATCTACAACATGTTCCAGAAAGCGTTTTTTATTGAAATTGTTTGGACAAAAGTTACTAAATACAAGCTAAAAGCAAACAGGACACATAGTTTCATACAAAAAGAGTTAAAAATTGAACCAAATACACACAAAGTCTTTATAATTCATTTATTTTACATTTTACAAAAATTTTGATCCTGATGAGAGTTGTCTACCTTGAAAAAAACCGGAACTTTTTGCAGAGGGATAGAATTTTTATCATGACAGTTATTTCATTTACTATACCAAAAACGACGGCAATAAATTAAATTACTATATCTAATTGTCAATTTACTGCTCTTTTATGGAACAAAATTACTCTCAATCATATACATTTTGGACATCATTCCATAGTCCGCTTACGCATGGTATATTAACATGTCAGGTACATATGTAACCGTAGGCTATCGCATGGTATGCCGTTATTACGTGCACGCACATGCACTTGCATTTTATAGGGATCTTGATATTTTACAAACCACTATTTTCACAGATTTATTGTCATTGCAATTTTTAACTGATTTATTTGACAGAGCGTACCTCGCTCGACAACAAAAGTCGTAGCGACCAAGAGCTTGTGAACTACTGTTAGCACGTGATACGTACAGGTGAGGTCGGTTAACAAAACACACCAGTCTGTATTCCATGCGCCTCATATACACCTTCTTGAAGTAGTCTGATCGTACGTCAGTGTTTTCCCGTGAGTTAATTAATGTCTTTGTATCATAAGCTTTATTTCTGAAGTACGTGTGATTACTCGATTTCGGGTATTGACATATCATCGTCACGCAATTGTACTATTAGTTACACGGATTTTTGGAAGGGTATACGAGATGGTATGACCCTAAAGGGTTTCGCATTTCCTGAGGCCGATAGGCCGAAGGATATACGAAATCCTGTAGGGTCATACCATCCCGTATACCCTGCCAAAAATGCGNAAGAAATTCCCCTAGCCAAAATAATCAGTTGGAAGAAGTTTGTTTTTACCAGAGTGACAGGGATCACATATAGATTTGTGGATTAAATTTACCATCCACAAACGTCTTAGGACACGATATTTCCATATAACGAAAGAAATGTTTAACGCTTACACGGTGTCTTTTTATAAAAGCGTTAAGCTAAAGGTACTTGTTCAATACATTTTCGTCATCGCTTCCAACGGCGAAAAATGGTTAATTCTAGAATTTTCTGCCACAAAACTGCAAATTGCGCTTGTACAAAGGTGAATGTATTTGGATCATCCACGAAGTAAAATATTAGACGTTGAATCCAAACAATTAACACTTATACATGATCAGCCTTTGTTGAATCAAACACTGTTATTCGGTCCTCATTAGTGGTATCAATAGTTTGTCACTGTTACCCCGTCCGTCTATGCATAGCAATTATATATACGTCTTCCCTCCACTCATGTAAACACACTACACAAACTACAAATATCCATTTGCCGTCTAGTCCTGGTCCGTCTATGCATAGCAATTATATATACTTGTAATTATTATACCTTCTGTTAAAATCTCGTAATCTGATTGGTTGAGAAAGATGTGAACATTTTCAATGTTACTTGCTCGTTTTACAAAGATAAAGAAGACAGGGTGACATAGCATTCCAAAAAATATCACATGCGCCAAACGTATGCGTGCACGGTTCGTCCCAGTGCCAGGGTGTTATTCTAAAGATTGTTACATGCGCCAAACGTATGCGTGCACGGTTCGTCCCAGTGCCAGGGTGTTATCAAATCACATTCATGAATGGTTACAATGGTTGGTATCCATGTTTTCACTTTTAACGAGAGAAATGTAAGAAATGCTTCAAAAAGAATGATTTCATGTATTTTCATGGGATATTTTACAAAAAATCATGAAGCTTACAAGGCTATTGATACAAGTCAAGCCAGATTACCTGAGTGAGAACTTGAAGGTGTTTTGAATGGTGTACAGGTAACATCTCACTTGCTTTGCATGCTTTTTTCTAACTTCAGTCAGCCTTGTTGGCTTTGTGCTTAGCTATGATTTATTCAGTGGAAATATATGGCAATATTCTGGAGATTTGACACATTTTCTTACATTGTTCTCGATAATAGTGAATACACGGGTACTTCAGGAATGCATCTACAGGTAAGTTTTTTTCATTAATTTCATTTTTCATTGAAATGTTGAATGGCGTTGACATAACGTCCGGAAACGAAAGTAAAAGTACTGCCCTCTGGTGATGGTAATTTTAAAGTACTGTGTTTGACCAGACTCTTGAATTACAAGTGATCAAGCGTCTGATTGAACGAGACTAAGTGTTACGACGATCGCATTTAACACTGGAAGGTTCAGAAAATTGATTTTAGCGTCTAGTTTTTGGAAACAATCTATTCTTTTAAATAGCATCTTATTTTACAGAACACAGCCTAAATTATAAACTCATGGCCTAACTAAATGAAGTACCATCTTAATTATCAACCCATGGCCTAAATTATGGTTACATAGTCTAAACTAGCGGAGCAACATCTAAACTTACAAACGATGTCTTAATTATCGGTACTTAGGCCAGGTTTCCTTTTGGAAAAGGGGTCTTAATTTTATATAAATGATGGGTGTGGTCCCTTTAGGTGCAGAGTTGCGGGGCTCAAAAGGGGAATTTAAGGTTTAATTCTTTAAAATGCTTCTTCTTCTGTACCATTGGAGAGATTGTTTGTAATAAGAATAATTTCCCATTGTTGCTTTATTATTAAGGGGAGCGATACAGGCCCTCTGGGCCTCTTGTTTTATTTTATCTCAACACCTTTAACTTACAATGGTATACAAAGATATGTAACATACACAGATTTAATGTATAAGCATGCGTGGTTGTACAGAGGGATACAAGTGTCATAGTAATAGAGGTGTACTTCAGTTACATACAATACATGTAGTCACTAATGATATTCGATGGTAAGTTTTCGAACAGATCTAAATCATGGCCTATCTTTTGTTGAGTCATTTCAGGATATAACAATTTCTGTTCTGAATTAAATAAAAGTTGTTTAATTGAATGTTTTAATCGTGTTCTTGAAGATGGGGAAAAAAGGCCAACATCTTCCGCAAAACGGCTGCTGCAGACTGGCTTCTGATTAGTCGAAATTTATGCATTGTCCAATATATCTATGCAAAAGTGTGCAGTGTCACTACGAACACTACTGCAATCTGCGTTGATTTTGTTTTTATTTGACAAAATGTTCTTGTCAGGTCGGGTCCTGATTAGTCGACATTTAGATAGTGACGATGTTATGGATTTGATATGTAGATGTATTATGTAGGGTTGTCAACGGTTAGCCGGTTAACCAGTTACTCGGGCGAAAGACCGATTACCAAAATCCTGAACTGAAAATTAAAGTCGGACATTTACTTTCTCCTTTTGGGAGCCCCATGTTTCCCTGGCTTAGACCTACAAACTATCTGCATTTGTAACGACCAAAATTGGACAGTTTTGTAAGAAAAACAGTGTTCAGAAGATTACATGCTAGTGGTAATTTTGTACCCTGATTTAAATAATGACAAAGAGATGTCGCAAACACCATAAACAAATCTTAACAGATTTGAAAAGGAAGCCAGAATACAAAGTTGTGAAATATCAACTTTTTAATTCTGAGATAGAACGCGCCTTTACATTAGAGATGTAATAAGAATACACACTTGAATGAGCAAGCATGTCTTAAAACGTTTGTCAAGCTAAAGAATAATATTACCGTATATGATTTCGAGTACAGATAACTGTAATTGAAATCCGAGATTTATCAAAGATAATGGGAACGGGAATTACATAACTTCTTGATATAGGAAAAAATACAGAATATATAGCCAGGCAGCTGTCATTCTCGCACATTCTATACTAACGATGAAGGAGCATAAACAATGTACATTTTGTACTTGTTACGTCTACACTATATACAAATCTTATTTTATTTATATGTGAGAAGACATTTAAGGTGTTAGTTGTGAAACATTAACCTACAAAATCCGCGTGGTTAACGAGAAATTGGTGTTTTAAAATTAGAAATTTGCGAAAGTTCAAGAGGCCCCCGAAGGGTTAATGTGAATCAATTATCAACTGCACGGTTGGTTTTAATTTAAAATTCCGACAAGTGAATCTATAGCCTAGACGGTTCTTATCACTGCACGATAATTTGTAATCAAACTTGTATACAAAATTAAAAGGTGTGGTATCTTAAAAAAAGGTTGCATACATGGAATAAAACAAGACCAAATATGACGATTACAATATCAATACATTGCAGTAGTTATAAAGTTAGTATATGTGATACAAAGATTCTAAAACAATAAGGACAGAATAATAACGGGCTGACGGATGTTACTTAATTAAACTGAGAACTATGCATATTTATATGTAACAGATCATGGGT